TAGCTCAGGGCCTGGCACGTAGAGAGGCACAGAAAACAATAGCTCTCAGCGTTCTCTCAGGCCATGGCAGATAGGAGCTGAGCCATGAAGGACTCTAAGCAGCAAGGTATGTAGTCAGGTCAGATTTATTTCTTAGGAAGATCCCTGGAGCAGTCAGATTTGAGTTTAAATTTGGCTCTGCTACTTAATTAGATGTGTGATCTTAAGCAAGCACCTCAGCCTCTCTGTGCTTCCTTCTCTCTGATGGGGATAATTATGCCTATTACTGTAAGGAAAGCTGGGAAATGGAAGAGCTTAATAAATGACAGCTCTGATGTTGATGACAGAATGACAGAGGAAGAGAGGAAAAAAAGCAAAAAAGGGGACAGGAGAAGGAAGTGAGGGAGTAAAAGAAGAGAATGACAATAATAATTATTATGAGACACAGTAACCAGACAGTCACAGATGGCAGTGATGAAAGGTGCAGATGGTGAGTGGTGTTGACACGAGCTCCATTCCTGAGGTGGAGGAGCTATGGCCAGGAGGCAGTATGAGGAGGAAGCAAAGTCCTCCAGGCCCTCGCAAGGAAGAAATGGCTACAGCCACTGGAGATGGCTGCAAAGGAAATGATACACCAGGAGGCAGGGAGTGGAGCCTATGGTTTCTGGCTCTGCCTTTGGGGCCACAGTGTAGGCCCTGCCCCAATCCTCCTCAGGTTAGGTGGTGCCCAGGCTGGGATCCTTCTGGGCAGAGTTCATTTAGGTCTGAACAAAGGAAAGGCTCAGGTAAGTTGGGCATCTAATCCCCAACTTGGGCCTGGTCCAGTAAGACCTCACATTCAGGGATCTGGTGACTTTGTTTGCCCTGTGAATTTCTCAGACTGCTAGCCCATACCTGCTGCCATTCTCCAAGGAGGCTCCTGTCTCCTCCTCCTCTAGGTCTGGCCTCTGATCCCTGCTTTCAGGTCACCACCCAGCTTAGGCCCTACAGTGTGGACAGAAAAAGGCTTTGTGTCCCCATGCAATAGAGCTTTTCTAATAGTAACACCACTACCAATAACAAAAAATAGCAAATAACATCAATATGTGCCTTAGGCTGAGAACTTACTACAGTCTCTGCACTAGGTACTTCTCAATTTCATCTTATTTAATTTTTAAAACAACTGTAAAAGATGGGCAGTACTATTACTGTTGTATAGTTGACACTAAATCTAAGGGGACAGGAAATATAAGGTAATCCAGGTAATAAAGGACATAGTCTAAATTTAAACCAAAGTCTATATAACTATACAGCTTAAGCCATTTGACCTTCTTAAAACATGTTGTTTCTTTCAGGGACCTAGTCCCCCTGAGCATGAATGTGGGGCCACAGCTGGCCTCTGAGATCTTTCCTTTCCTCCCTCCCATCCCAGGGAGTAAACTACAGCTAGAAGGTCCAGCCTAGTCCAGTATGTTCAGGTGCCAATCCTCAGCCCTTTTCCTCTCCCTTCTCCCTGCAGGGCTAGAACCACATGCACACTGACCTGGCCCAGTGCTGGATGGGAAGCCCTGATTCTTACATGTCTGGTCTTCTCCAGGCCCCAGGGGCCTTTCATCTGGACAGCAGATGGGGTGTCTCCAGTCTTTGTCCAGCAATAGGAGCTTCTTCCGAATGCACAGGCCACAGCAACTGAGACTTTTAGCAGCACTCTGACACACGGCCAGGCTGTGCCCTGAATGGAGTGCTGTCTCTGTGGGCCTCTGCACGTGCTGTTCCTCTTACTTGTAACACCTTTCACCTAATTGTTCCTAACTTTTCCTTTAGGGTCCAGCTCAGTAGTACCTCCTCAAGGAGGCTTTCTGTATCTCCCTGCCTGCCCCAAGGGTTGCTTTAGGAATGTCCCCCTCACGGTACCTACCACATTGCATGGTGACTCTAGTTTTAAAACTGTCTCTTCCTCTAGATTGTAAGCAACTCTGAGTTGAAAACAGTGTTGAATTTATTCTGTCTGGATCCCTTGGGGCTAGTGCAATGCCAGCACACCTCACTAATGCCTGGCAAATGTATGAGTGCAAGGGGGACGGCTGCAGATATCTAAGTGTTCCTCAAAAAGCTGCCCCTTCCCATTAGGGTTCATATAGGGAAGCACCTCCACATCCCCTGCCTTTTAGCCTCAGCTTCCCTATTCAACCATCAACTGGTACTTTCCTGAGCTGTCCTGAGTACACAAGGCTTATTAGGAACTTCTATATCTGCTTGCTGGCTTGGCCAAGGTTCCTAGGATTGGAGAGATCTTTTGGTAACTTGTTGGAGTTATTTGTGCTACTGCCCAGTGAATCAGGAAACCAAATGGCCACATATGGTGAAGAGGAAAGCTCCCATGTGATAAGAAAGTTTGGCCAATCTTGTGCAAAGGTAGCCTGGTATGGCCTTCCTTTCCCACATCTTCCCCCTTCCCATTCCACATCAGGACTCCTGGGTACTTGAAAGGTACCCGCTGTTAAGTGACTGCTTATATAGCAAGCAGTGGGCAACAGCTGTAACTGAGGTCTAATACCTGTTCCAGCCCTGCCCAGCCACGCTCTGGCTCCCACTATTGTGGAGCTGCCTCTTGCCAGAACTCTGCAGGTAAGGCTCTTGACAGTTGTAGAATTCACCAGTAGCTAGAAGCTGCATGGCCAGGACCCATTGCTGCAATAGCAGAACAAGCCTATGGCTGGGCCCTATGGCAAGGCACCAGGCACGAGTGGCCTGGAGAGGCAGCCTGGCTCACATTACCTGGGTCTCAGAGGCCAGAGAAATGGGAGTAGAGCATGGAGAGGTCATGGAAGACCTTGGGCTAGAAAAGGGCACTACAGAGGGCCTCTGGGTAATACTGGGCCCAGGCAGGCCAACTCCAGGTGCTGGGAGAAGTGAGATCATGGGCATTCCTCTGGTGGCTCACTCTAGGCCCAAACCACCTGTGACTCTGGTACTTCAGAGGACTCCTTAATGTCACCTTTGTCTCCTTCCCACTTATGCCCACCCACTCTGGGAAGGAGTTCTCACTCACACGAGGCTGGCCCAGGACTCCTGATGCATGGCCAGGACAGGCTGAGCAGGGGCCTCAGCACTCTACTGCTCACCCCACCTCTCTAGGACCTTGACCTCCTGCTGCCAAGGCCAAGTCAGGTGGAAAGCTCCTCAGTCTTCAGGGAACAGTGAGGCCCCGCTACCTGCTTCCTCCGACTCTAGCTGGCTTCCTTGTTTTCTTCTTTCCTTTCTCCCTTGGATGAACTATAAGATCCTTGACTTGGCTGGCTGTGATGCTCTTGGAAGGAACAAGTAGCAACACCTACCTGGATGGCCCTGACTTGTTTGGACTGCCAGGCTTTTCCCAGTATGCCCATCAGGAAGCAGGACTGGTGTTCAAGCCAATTCTAGATTGAGCCCATATAATTTATGGTGCCTAGGCACTGAGGGATAAAAACCAGTGGGGTCGGGGCTGTCCTTTGGGAGCTCCAGCCTTGAGGGAGGCCTGGGGCTTTGACATGCGTTTGTGGGGAGAAAATGGACATGGTAGGAGGGGAAGGGAGATGGGCAAGAGGCCTGAGAAAGCAGCCCCTAGAACTCCTAGAGTTCACCAAGGCAGATCCAGTTTCACCCATATTTCCCTTGAAAGTGTCTACCTCTTAGCTCTAGGGACACTAATGTGGGCTCTAGGATTCTGATAACAGAGGGGTTACTCCCTCAGCCGCCATTCTCTGCCTGGTCTGTGCAGATATGGGCCTGCTTGAAGCCAGGCTGGCTGAAGGCTAACGGTCACTGTTGCCTGGCTCTTTCCTTCCCTTTGGGAAGTTGGATTGGACATAGTAAAGCCCAGCAGCCTTATTCAGCCTGGTTTTGAGATGGGCTCCCTTCCCCACTGGCCCACCTACCTGAATTTCTGGACCTGACTTCTGTCTTCTCTCTTGCTACCTACTTGACACTGCCTGCATTTGGCCTTGCTTGGGAAAGGGCTGTGGAGTTAAACCAAATTGCACTGAGACCCCCACAGGCAGGTTAAGCTGTTCCCACCCTCAACTCTCCTCTAATCTTCCAGAAAGAACAACTAGCGACTTAGTGTAGGCAGAGGGCCATTTGTCATCAATCTCTGGTAAGAGGTTTAAGTATCAGAAGATGAATGGCCTGTGGTCTGTAGCACCCCTCCCCTCGGGTTGCTGGTGACAGCTGGAGGGGAGGAGAGCGGGGATGGACCCAGAACAAATTGGCAGGTGTTCCTGTAGGCCCAGAGCTGGGAAACAGAGGTCTCAGGAGAGAACTCAGTGGGTGGTCTACTCTGACCCTACTCTGCCACATGAGCTCTTTAAAGAAATGGGTGCAGACTTTGCCTGCCCAGAATAGTGAGTACAGAATCTGTTCATACCCAAAGACTAGAACCAGACTCAACGGCAGGATGGGGACCCAGCTATAGGTCAGGGGAAGCAGACCTGGACTAATGGTTCTGGGAGATGAAACCCTCAAGTTGAGAGGCCTGCTGTTACTAAAGAATGGTACCAGGGCCCACATCAAGCCTTCCTCCCTTCCCTAAGAAAGAGGGCAAGACCCAGAAGACCAGAGTCAGAGAGAACTCATGAGAAAAGTGGAGATCAGGGAGGCAGCTTCAGGGCCAGGGCAAGAGAATGTAAAGATGGGATTAATATAGGGCCTGTGGCCTTAGAGACGACAGCTTTTCTTCGTTGGGAATCTAAGGCCAAGGGAAGGCCCCTGGAGGCTGTTGAGGTCTGGCCAGAGAAGGCTGGGAAATGGTTTGCCCTAGGAATCTGGAGGCAAGGAGCAAGCAACAGGCATTTCAGTGCCACAAGCCTGGTCTGGGACCCTGTCACCTCCTGGCCTCTGCCCTTTGGTTGCATTTATTATCTTTCAGCCTTGGGTCATTGATGCTTATTTTGAAGATTCCTGCTTATGTTTCATGGGGTTCAGGGGAGGGACTGACTTGGAAACTGGGGGATCCAGGACCACGCCCAGGGTAAGGGGGAAGGAACTGGTGCTGGGGAGCTCACCACTCTCTCCTTGTAGACGATGTACTTCAACCACTTGAAGTCCTGCCACTTGAAGCCAGCGAGGACAAAGAGAGAGTCACGCTCATACTGTTCAGGCCGCTGCATGGCGCCCTCGGGGTAGGTGATGCGTAATGTTGTTTTGCTGCCCACGTCCTTTTCGAAGCCCTTCACTGGTGCCGAGTTCAGTCTACAGAGAACAGGCTCAATCAGAGCCTGCCTTGGGCCTATGTTTGGGGAAGTGCTGTGACCCCCTTATAACCCAGGTGCAGAGAACAGGGAGTTCACATCTGGTGTCACCTAGGTGTCTATTTCAAAACTCTCCAACCAAGCATTCTTGAGGCTTCTGTTGACCTCAAGCCCAAGTGGTCAGATGGACAGAGAGTTCTCAGTGGGCTCAGGGACTGGGGTTTGGGCCAGGTCACTCAGGTGCCCATGACACTGGTGTGGGGAGCTCACCTGACTACAATGTCATAGTCATCAATTCGTGATCCCAGAGACTTGTTGGCAAGGACACCTCCATTGCCCACGATGATGCAGCGACGGCAGCGGAGGCTGAGGAGAAAGAGGTGGAGGCCTGTGGAGAGCTGTCTCCCAGACCTCTTTCCTTCTGTCCCTTTGGCTCTTGACCTACACCATCTGCCAGAACCAGGTTGGGATAGAGGAGGACAAAAGGGGTCTTGGCAGTATTTCTTTCTTTTTTAAAAAATTTATTTTATTTTTTTAGTTATAGATGAGTATAGTACTTTTATTTATTTACTTTTATGTGGTGCTGAGAATTGAACCCATTGCCTCACATGTGCTAGGCAAGTGCTTGACCACTGAGCTACAGCCTTAGCCTCCTGGCAGTATTTCTGAGAGGCCAAAATCATACTGTGGGAAGCTGGCCTCTGGGACTCTCCAATATCCTAAGGGAAATAGGTATAGAGGGCTTGGGGAGCTGACTCAGAGATGAAGAGTGGGTGGTAAGATAGCATCCTGGGGTAAAGGTTTCCAAAGACTGGGGGGTGTTTTAGGCATCCCGAGGGTTCAGGGTAAAGAAAAACAAGGACAGGGGTCTTGGATTTGGGGCCCCAGGACTCAGGGCTTGGCTTATTTTTAACTCAGAAGCACTCAGGCTCCCAGTAGCCACCAGGGAGTCTACTCATTCTGTTTCTGCCACCCCTGATCCTGGAGCTTCCCTGCTCCAGGGTCTGTTAGCTTCATAGCTGTCACTGCCTCTTGGATATGAACCTTGACCCTACCACCCCTCAATCCCACCCCCCCCTCAATCTAATGGACCAGGCTGATTATGACCCCAGTGTGTTCAGGTCTAAACCTCAAACCTGATGCTTGTGGACTCAGATGTCTTGTCTGAGATGCTGATGGTCCCCAGGGATTCAAGTCCAGTGCAGTGCATCCACTTACCTGCTCCACCCACACCAGTATGTTTATTACTGTAGGTCATATGTACAGATATGCTGGAGAATCTGCCCATGTCCAGGAAGGCCAGCTGGACTTCAAAACCCGGCATTTTCCAGGCATTTGGGGCCAGCAGGCTGGCCAGCAAGGGGCTCACCTGTCCAAGGCAGGAGTCAGGCGATACTCTTTGGTGACTGACAAGATGGCTTTGATTAGATTGTCTGTGGACAAAGGTAGGAGTTATTAGAGGGCCACTTACGTTCCCATAAAATGCTTGCTGATGACCCTATTGGAAAGCACAAGTTCCTGGGGTCACAGTGAAGGCAGGGGTAGGGAAAGGAAGCTATGTTGGGCCAGGTCACTGCAACTTTCTCCCTAAAAAAGGAGACAGAGGCAGAGAAACAGGCAGAAATATCTCCACCAGAAGCCAGTCCTCTAACCCTAGTATGCAAGTTCTTCCCAGGGCTTCTTCATCCTCCTTGGAGACTCATTGGACTTTGAGACTGTAGTCAGGCCCAGGACGTGTGTTTCTAGGCCAGGGCCTTGCCTGGAAGCTGAAGCATCTCAGTTTCCTCCAGAAATGGAAGCCCCTACCCAGAGTCAGAGACCATGATGTGCTTACCTGTGTGCCCCACCAAGTAGACTCCAGGAACAAATGAGAAAAGCAGTGATGAGGAGCACAACCAGGAAGACACGTGCTTGTTTCTGGTACTGCCTTTTCCTCGCTTCCTCCCTTTCACACTGCCAATCTCCAACCCTGCTCTGTGTCAGGTGGCCTTTCCTTCTTAACCTCTTTACTCTCTGCAGTCTGGCACCTGCCCACCCACACTCTGCTCAGGCTGCTCTCCACAAGGACACCCGGGACCTCTGTGCTCTTAGATCCTGTGACAACTACTTAAATCTCATCTTCTTGGCCTCTTTGTTTCTGACAATGGTTTCTGCTCTCCTTCTGAACTCTGCTACATAAGAGCTCTGTGATCTGAAATAATTGACTCTTTTTTTTTTAAATTCTTTAAGCTTTTGTTTCCTCATCTCTAAAATGAAGATGGTAATTCCTACCATATAGAGTTGTCAGAAAGATAGAAACTAATGTACATAAAAATCTAAAGATAAATTGGGTTTTGGCCACAAAGGAAATCACCTTAAAAATACCAAATAAGGATATAGGTATGCATAGACTAGGTTCTTGCAACTCTACTCTAAGTGGCACAAAACTGAAAAAAATATATTTATACAAACATATTTACTGCAAAACTGTAATAGCAAAACATTGGTAGCAACCTAAATGTCCAAAGGAAAATATCACATGTGGTACACGAAACATTACAGAGTAGTCAAAATAAATAAATAAATAAATAAACAAATCAATGACCTAGAGCAATAGGTATCCATGGAAAAAAAGCTAAAAAAATTAGCAAAGAGGGGCTGGGGTTGTGGCTCACCAGTAGAGCACTCACCTAGCATGTGCAAGGCCCTGGGTTCAATCCTCAGCACCACATAAAAATAAATAAGTAAAATAAAGGTATATAAAAAAAGAAATTGGTTTGAAGAACACACACACACATACACAAATGTATATATAATGATATGCATGTGTAAAGCTTAAAACATGCAATATCTATCTATCTATCTATACACACGTATATTTTTTCTTTTGGTACTGGGGATTGAACCCAGGGGTATGTTACCCACTGAGCTACATCTCCAGTTCTTTATTTTGAGGTAGCATCTTGCTAAATTGCTGTGGGTGCCCCTGAACTTCTGATTTTATAGGTGTGTGCAACCACACCTGACCAAAATCAACATAGTTTGAACGGTCTTCTAAATATGTTGCAATCTGAGTGTGATGGCACACCACCAACTGGCTAAGCAAGGTTAAGATGTGGATGGGCCTGGTTTTCTAGGAAGGATTCTTAAAAAATAAATAAATAAATAAATAAATAAATAGTTGGACACAATACCTTTTTTATTTTATTTATTCATTTATATGTGGTGCTGAGGATCGAACCTAGGGCTTCACACATGCTAGGGGAGTGCTCTACCAGTGAGCCTCAACCTCAGCCCCTCTAGGAGGGATTCTTTATAGAAAGGGCACTTATAAGCACAGCTGCTCTCTTGCTGCTGGCTAGTGGTTCTGTATTGGTCTTCCCTGGTCTTTATAGCTGTATGATCATTCTAGAAGTGTGGATTTAGGAGAAAAGAGCAGGCTGCTTGGCTATGTGCATCCAGAAGGAAGGAGTTCCTCATATGGCTCCACACGACCCACTAAATGTGCCCTTGGAAGCTTAAAATCAAAGTGTCAGCTTGTCAGCATTTTTGCTGGTCACTGTCTTCTTTATGGGGAGTGGTGGGATGGCTGAATAGAGGACTTAGACATTCTTGAGTTTCCTGGCCACATGATACCACCCCTTTAACAGCTGTTTTAATTCTGACCACAACCTATACAATAGTACGATACTTTCCATTCAGCTGATGAAGAAACTAAAGCATAGACTGGCTAAGTAGTGGTCCATGGTCACAGCTTGTAAAGAGGTAGTATGGAGATCTGATGTGACTTTAAGCCCAGCTCTTTCCCACCAGACCACAAAACAGCACAGGAACTCAACTCAGAAGCAGAAGTGTTAAACCATTAGGGTGGGAAGTCTTACATTAGGAGGGAAAAGGTGTGGGGAGGTCCCTAAGTTGATGGAGGGGGTAGTTTCTGAGAGCACGGGGGCGTGGGGGGGCGGGGGAGGTTAGCCACAGACAGAACAAGAACAGTTGGAAGGGAATCTAAGTCAGGGTGGAGGACATCAGGCATGGATGTTTCTGGGGGGTGGCCTCTGGTTTGCCCATCACATTTAGTATTCTATATAATGTCTGGCATCTCTCTTCTGTGATCTCACCGTATCTTGTGTTTCCCCCTGGCAGAGCCCTTCTGTCCTGCATTCTGAGTACCTGTATCTCCATTAAACTAGAATTATTTGAGGAGAGGAATGGTATCCATCTATGTCACTGTTATAGACCCAGCCCCTGGCAAAGCGGCAGGTTCTGTAAATATTCCATTAAAGAAGTATGAGAAAAGGAAGGAGGAAGCAAGGTGCCGCTGAGAGCGGGATTTCTGAGGCTACAGTGCTGTCCTGAAGTATAGGCAGACAGTTAGGGATTGAGATGTTAGTGTAGGTCAGGGTTCCCAACATACCTTGACCTTTAATCCCAAAAGGCGGCACAAACTCCCGAATCCTAGCCCACTTGCGAAAGGAGTCATCCAGGAACATGGGTGCTGGCTTGGAGAACCTGGAATACAACAGGGCTTTGAGGATCACAAAAATGCAATAGGCTGGAGCACTGGTTGGCTCTTCTGTGCATCAGTCTTGGCGATGGGCCTGTGGGAAGCCACTGTCCACATTCCAGCATACCTGCCCCACCCTAGCCTATTCACTAGGTAGCTGCTGATCTTGTTGAGTGGAGCCTGAGTCTGAGGGAGCAGGCCTGATCAGTCTTTATTTGGCCAGCTATAGGAGTGGAGGGACCAGATTTGCCGAGTGAGCTTAATGTCTCAGATCTGGAAGCTCCTTGGAAGGTTATCCACGCATCCATCTACAGTCACTGCTGCCCACTCTGTTCCTGCAGACTGGGAACATGGGGATAAGATGCTGTCCAGTCAGCAGAAAAATATCCAAAAGTACAGCCAGCGCAAGGAGACAAGAATTTTAGAGAAGATTCTGGGAGGTAGACCACCCAGGGTGGAGAAGAAGGCAAAGCAGGGTAAAAGTTATAAGAGATAGAAGTTTAGTAGGAAACAGGAAAGGCAAAGTCCTGTGATTAGGATGCAGGGCTGATAGGTGAGTTTTCAGATTAGAAGGGACAGAAATGCATTTTTTTTTTTTTTAAGGGTCAAGGATTACACCCAAGGCCTTGCTCATGCTAAGCAAGTACTCTGCCGCTGAGCTAAACCCCCTACCCCGGGAATACATTTTTTGGTGGAGAGAAGGAAAGAGCTCCAAGTTTAAGGGAAGAGGTTCATTTTGGCCTAGAGGAGAAATAGGAGGGGTAGGGCAAGAGAGGAGAGAGAAATCAAATGTCACTGTTCTTGGGCAGGGCAGGCTGCAATCTCGGGAAGATGGGATGAGGTCTGCAGGGATGCAAAGGGAAATGAGGCACAGAGGTAAAGGCACAGGAGAAGTCAACCTCTTTCAAGATGCTTGGAGAACTGCACTGTACATGGACTCTAACTTGAAATCCTTTTCAGGGCACCTCCAGCCCAGATGATGGCCAATTCCAGTGACTTACTATGTGCTGACAGTCTTGCTGTGGGGGCTACTTAGGGCCTTTCTGGCTAAGAATGATCAATGTAGCCTAGGTCTTAGTGGTTCTGCCCTTACTCTAACTCAACCTGAATCAGCCCGCTGAATAACGGAATAGCTGAAAAACTAGAATCTGCCCCTCCTAACATAAGCGTCTATTTCTTATCCCTATCATCACTACCACCATGATACCCATGTCCCAGGAGGAACAGAATCACTGATTACTCAGGTCTTATTTGTTAGAAACTTTGACATGAACTTGAAAGAGGAGGAAAATGTTCAGTCCTGCTCCCTCCCCCACTTCTTATTGCTAAGAAGATGTCAACACTCCATAGCTCCTCAAGCTGAGAATGGCTTTCCTTTAGACTCCTGGGTGCCAGCAACTGAGTGAGTGCAACTCCCTTGTGTATGAGGACAATGCCTATTTCCTGTGCCTAGTACACAAGATCTAAGTAAATTAATATGCTTGAGGTTTCACCAGAGGCCCTGAGGATCCTGGCCAGGTTGTGAGTGATATCAAAGGGAACAAAGTCCCTTGATATCCCTGCATCAAGAATTGCTCCTTTTGTGTCAGGACTGAGCTTATAAAATTTTTGTGAAGTTTCTTAGTCAAGCTTGGATAGGACTTTATCTGCTTCCCAATGTGTACTGGATGTCATATGCTAACAGAATCTCCTAAAATCTAATCAAATGATCTTAGTATATTTTTTCCCCTTTCTTATCCACTCCCCTTTTTTCAAAGACTATTGGCAAGTATATTATGCAAAAAAAATCTTGTAGCTCAGTGGTAAGGTGCCTATATAGAATGTGTGAGGCACTGGCTCGATTCTTAGCACTACATATAAATAAATAAAATAAAGGTTCATCAACAACTAAAAAAATTTTATTAAAAAATCTTATTTTTTTGGTAACCTATAATGTGTGTTATTTTTGAAAAAACACAGGTAAATACACATGCACACACACATAGACATCCATAACCCTATAACACAGAAGCAACCTTGGTATACATTCACACAGATTTTCCATTCCAGACTATATCAAACAACAAAAACTATAAGCTGCTGGAAATGTGATATGTATCAACCCTAAAAATTGACATGTAAAGGATGGATAAATGAAAATGTTGCCCCAGAGCAGGAATTGCCACATTAGTAATAGCCAAAACAAGCTCAGGGACTGATCATGGAAAAAGCATTAAATAGGCCTAATAACGCCTCAAGAACCTCTGCCCTTAGTGTGTAAACTATTCCTTTTATGACCTGTTTTGAGACACTGGCCACTTCACCTCATTCTTTTGTCAGGCCTTCATGTTTTAAGTGCTTATTTTGTAGCCTCTTTTTATATCCCTTGAAAGACTGGGTCAGCCCTTCTCTGCCATTTCCTCCTGCTATTTGGGTATACTTCTCTGCAAAGGGCACTCTTTTTCCTTCCTATGTATATATATTTTAAATCTCTCCCTAAACCCCAACTTCAGTGCTAAGGGCATGTGCTCTACCATTGAGCTGCAAATCAGGTCCATTTTTTAAAAATATTTTTTAGTTGTTGATGGACATAATACCTTTATTGATTTATTTATGTGGTGCTGAGGATTGAACCCAGTGCCTCACACATGCTAGGAGAGCGCTCTACCACTGATCCACAACCGCAGCCCCTCAGGCCTATTTTTAAAACTTTCTATTAGGAAAAATTTCACATATCAAAAATAGAAAAAAACAGTACAGTGAACTCCCCATGGACCTACTGCCCTGATTCAGCAACTATTAATGATGGTCTATTTTGTTTCTCTTATATCCCACCCACTTTCTAGGTATTAGTTTAAAAATCCCACTGCACTCTGTATACTGGTGGTTTACTATGTGATATCATTCATAAAATATTCTAGCATTAATTTTT